ACTCGACCCCCAGTTCTGAATCTTGCGATCCAGCCCCCAAATTACCATGATGGACAAATGAGGTTTCCAAATCCGAATAAGGAATGTACTTAAGTATGGAGGAACCACCCAAGCCTTAGGGAAAGGACTTAGGAAAGTCTGGATAAGGTGCCTGGCAGGAGTGGCAGAGATCTTTTTTCATTGGTTTATTCTCCATTACCTTCCATTTCCTGGGATGTCTTAATGATCTTCTGCAGAGGGCAACTAGGAAGTCACTGCGGAGGTAATGATACTTTCAACCTGTAAGGGTATTTCTTCTAAGGCACTGTGGACATGATTTATTTCAGTTCTTCTTGGAAGTCAAATAGCATTAACGCCTATGAATAAACAGATACAGTGTTGATGGAAGGGGTGATGGTTCACCTAAGCCTAAATCACCCAGGACATGCCATTCAATTTTATTTTGGTTGCTTTATTCATGTACACAGAGAGTTTCCCCTGAGAATATTCTGAGGTAGAAAGCTCAAATGACATTTAAAGCCCAGAGTGGCTGTTCTTCCCAGGGGATGAGTAGGGGGGTGGGGAGAGAGAATCAGAGGCAGCCAGATATGGAGCTTCAGGGTACAAAACTTGGTCACTCAGATCTCCTCTAATGTAGACAAATGCCACTGAGTGTTGGCAGTCTTCTACTTCACTTCCTTCCAAAGATGAGAACGTGGCATCATTGCCCAAATTGGCTCAGACCTCCCCTTTCCTGGGGTTGCCTGAAACACAGGCTAAACCAGAGTTTCTTTCCATCAAGGTGAACAAGGGAAGAAGCAGGTTCATAACTCAGCTGCTTCAGGAAACATCCAGTGTAAGACGTAGCTCTTCTTTGGACAAGGCTTTGGAACATTACAGTTATGGTCTTTTAGGGAAAAAAAATAGTTTTGTTTCTTTCCTCATCAAAATTTGGTCTATGATATTTCAATACTTAATCACGTCTCTTTTTTGATCATTTCAGTTGGTCATGAAAAGTTCTGTCAGCCCTTAGAAAGAAGAATTAATAATAAATAAATCCCTATGTTCTCAGATTTCCTGGTGTCATCAGGACACGTCATGATGTATATGATTTGTCAGAATTGGTATGAAGTTCGTGACCACAGACATCTCCATAGAGGACCCTCCCCCAGAGAAACAACTGTCTCCGTGGGGGCTTGAACTCAGAAAAAGTTATCACCTCTGTTGTCCTGAATGAGTTTTTAATAAATCTGCAATATAGAAAAGTATGCGGGGAATGAGAGGAAAGAAAGGTAGAGTGGGTGCCGGCCTCTGAGGTTGGAATCTGTTTTGCAATATGTGTGTAGAGTTAGCCCACCCCGGCATGATCCATCTCAAGGGTTCATTAATAACTAAATCTGAGAGAATCTGTCCAATAAACACCTTTCAAATTAAGAATTTTTGCACAATAGATCATGTCAGCTTCAGAGGTTGGGGTTCTATGACACCACCATAACTAACTATAAAGTGAAAATTTTAGAAAGCCTTGCGGATGTCAGAGCTACAACATATGAAATATATAGAAATTGAGAGTTACTGTATTTCCTGAGGCCAGGAGTGCCCATTACCACAATATTCTACTTAGAAAAGGTCCGTGTCGCCTGGCTGACCATGTCCCTGCAGCCTGGCGCTGTCCTCCTCTTCCAGGATAACCACTGGACAGGCCCCGGCCACCCTGACTTTCTTCATTTGCCCAACTCCAAGGAAGGAATTCTCTCTGACCTTGGGGTTGAAATATCAAGCCGAACCTCTTGGAATTTATCATTAGCCTGGCATCTGTGCTCAGCAATAGAGCCTCTGAATTCAAAACAGGACTGTTTCCTGGCTCAGAACTTCAGCTCCAAATTCCTTGGGCTCAAAAACTGATGGGAAAACAGATCTTCAGCATTCTTCTGATTTAAAAATCATTCAAACTGACAACAGATAAGAAATTGACAAGGAGATGCGAAAGCCTTCATTTACATAGCTGTCTCTTTCTTCCTTCTACACAGTGAAGAACAGAGCATCCTTAACCTTGGTTTTCTCACTTCTCTCAGTTTAAAGCACAGCCCATAACATTAATTAAAGTGTGTGTGTGTGTGTGTGTGTGAGCTGGAGGGTAAAAGTTATATTTCATATGCTGTACCACATGGCATTCTAGAAGAACTGTACAATTTTTAGGTGTGCTTTTTTTTCCCCCTCAACTTGCTATGTATGCAGCCCTGCTTGCTCTTCAGCCTAGCCTCATGCAGAAACTCCACAAGAGCAACCTAAAAATGGATGCAGTGGGTAAAACAAATGCTGAGGGCATTGGTGGCTTAAGCATGTAGATAGATGGAGGTAAGTTTCTGGCTGGAGAATGCAGGTGCTGGACGGGGCATCTGAGGTTATCTACTACAATCCTTTTGCTTCACACATAAGTCCTGCAGGAGGTGGGTTCAATGACTAGTAAGGGGTAGCCCCAAGTATTTCTTATGATTTCAAGTCTTTCCACTCCGCCAGGACAATTAGCCTCTCTGAGATACAGACGTAAGTCAGATCTCTTTCGGGGGGAAAGTTATCTGCTTATCTACACTTCCTAGTGTTTGCATGTCAACTCAGGAGCGTCACAGAGTGCCTGAAGTTTACCTCTGAATGTTACTGGGCCCATGGTCCCCGAGTTAAGAACTAACATAACCAAGGAAGCAAGTCTCCTAAGTAGAAAACACTATTTTCAAAACTAATCTCTTCTGAACAGAAACTAGAGTTAATGATGCAATCTATAAAATTCAGGGGGAAAGAAATTCCAATTGAATTAAGCCCTAATCAATATTTCCATACTTCTAGAGTGCGTTAAATAAAAAAAAAATGCGTAAGGGAAATTTAAACCTACACGTATTTCACTAGCGATTTCACATATGGACCTGGAATATCGTTTCTCCTAATATGGAGATGGTTCAGCAGTATTTAAATGACTCCTTATTCCAAGTTATATAAATATGCACCAGATGTATCTTTTGTAAATGTTATGTTTTTCAACTTCTCAGCATTTGCAAGTAGTTGAAAGCTATGTCAGGCATGCTTTAATGGGGCATAAAAGTGTATTGTATTCAAAGAGATGGCACAGCTCTGTAATAGGTGAAAATACAAATGTTGTCAATGGATACATTCTCATTTTATTGATTTACACTGCATAATAGCATGCCCTGTAATCTCCTTTCCCTGCAAGTTCTTTACCAATTGAAATATAACTAGATATTTAAAAATCATGCGTACATTAATGGATTCTCTAGATGACAGAAAATTCAAAACACAGAATTTTATGACTAGAAGGCAGCTCAGAGATCAACTAAATCCCATCCCCTGATTTAAGAGATGAGAAACTGGGACCAGAAGGGTGACATGCGGCAACCACATCACTAACCTACTTGCGGCTTCGTGCATGAATTTCTATACTCTTAAATATAAGGAACCTTACTGAACTCTTTATACAATCTGCCTCTTGACTACCTAAACAAAAAATAGAAGGAACAGTAAAACATATATCACTTATTGATTTCCTGTGACTTACTGGGAAGAAGCAGACGTGATCTATATGCCGCAAACTGTCAAATTATCTTATGGGAAGTAAATATAGGACGTGAGTGCCAAGTGCTAGGATTAAAAACTGTCAAAGAATATCATAACACTATTCCTCCAATATAAAATTCTAATGGACTCAAGATTAGCTTTTTCTACTTTTAAAACAAAAGATATAATAGTGAATTCTTTTCAGAACATTTTCTTGGAGGTTAAATATTATATCAAAGATGTTAAAGAAATACATTCAAGGCATATGTAATTGACTGTCCATCTTGAAAAGAGTGCTTTTTTAAATAAAAGTTAACACAGATAGATCCTTATTGTAAAAATCTTTTTATTATTTTTCCCTCTCTTTGCTGGGGGGAAAGCAAACCCTATCTCTTGTCATTTATGTGACTTTCTAACATCTCTAAGCAGAGTGAGCATTTGAGGGTGTGCACAAGTATATATATGCTGACTTCACCTGGCTCATTTTCCCCAAATTAGTTTCCTCTGTCACATATTTTTTATAAACTGCTTTTAATTCTTTCTTGGAATGAGGCAGCATATTAATTAACTAATAACTAATTAATTATTTGGTGAAAGTCATTTTCTGAAAGCCAAGTAACCTTTTCACTTTGACCTTTACAAATAACATTTCGCCCTTTGGGGACCAGTGGCGGCAAGGAAGATTTCATTTAGAGTGAAATCATTACGGAGGTTTTTTCAGCGTTGGTGTCTTGGTCTCTCGTGGAGCACTGGTGTTTCTCAGGGCTCCACAGCCGACTCTCTTTCCTCTCAGGCCCCAAACGAAACCCCATCTTTTCCCTCTCGCTGGGAATCAGGCTTGCGCACACTCTGCTCCGTGGCCCAGATTCAAGGCACTCCCCGAGGGGCACACAGTCCAGCCTCGCTGATTGATCCCTGGGTTGCCTAGAAAAGCTCCATTGTCTCTGAATGATGCTGGGACCAGTGAGAAGGTTAAATACAGTGGCTCTGCCTGTGGCTGCGAGGCATCCACACGCTCCCTACGAGGGTGTTTGCAAGCGGAGCACAGAGAGGAGCGGAACCAACCCACCGGCTCCTCCATCAGCCTGGAAAGCAGAGACGCCTAGAGACGATGCTTCTCATCCGCAGGTCAGCCTCCCCCCCTGGGTGCCCGGATACAGAGCAACAGACACACCACTGTTGTCTATTCAGCGCAAGGTTTATAGACACACACTTATGCACCTTCTGAGGCCCTTTAACTTGTTACACCTCAGTATAAATGGAGCATCCAACCTAAATTGTAATACTCATTTCTGCTTAATCCACAGAGCTTTGTGGAGCCTTATTCTGCTCTCACAATCATGGAGGGCTGGGAGACGGCTGCCTGGTACTGGTGCACACAGAGGTCGTGAGCATTCTGATTGTGATGCGAGACTCTTGGGGGTGCTGCAGTCACAATTGTCACTAGGCTGCTTTGCAAGCACAGAGATGGCCCTAAGTGTGGGGGGACAGGTGGGGATCTTCAAAAAGGGGAGAATGTGGCAGGGTCTCAGAATTTGCAAAGCAGTAAAGCATCACTGGTAAAAAAAAAAAAAAAAAAAAAAAAAAACACACTGTCTCCAAGACAGGTGACTGAAGTTCAGACCTGGGTACCACCACTTGGGACATTCAGCAGGTGACTCAGCCCCTGGAAGCCTCAGTTGGCTCACCTGTCAAACTGGGATACACGGTGAACTTCATGGGGTGTTTAAAGGCTTAACCAGGACAACACACACAAGATGTGTTTCAATACTTGGTATGTGGTAAGCCCATGGTAAAATGTGGTCGTTATTATTACTGCTGCTGTTGTTGTCATGGAAATTCTCTTTTGAGTCTTTATGCTTGGAAATGAGAAAAGATTTGACTTTCCTCTCATCTTCCCTAACTCAGACGTTAAGCACACGCTTCTGAATCCTGGTGGACCATCCACCCTCCAGGCCATGCAGAGGAGTTCAAAATGGAAGAGGGGGAAGAAGGTGCCCAAGGCCTGGGTTAGAATCCATCGTCTCCCACCAGCAGTGGCTCTGCAAGCACGGGTACCTAGCTTCCATGACAAAGCCCAGGCCACGGGTGGCAAGAATATTTTCAGAGGGAGTCAGAGGGACATCTCAGAGGTGGTCACTCTCCATGGCCCAGAAAAAGGCAGAGAACAATGGCATTCCTACTGCTGTCTCAGTTCCCTGAGAACAAGAGGGGAAAACCCCATTCCCCTTGAAGTGATGGCAGCGAGGGGTCTCTCAGGTTGGGTGTGGGGGAGTCTGTACTCTAAAACCTCACCCCTCTTCAATGGGCTCCCCGAAGACCACGTCCGCCCACCATTGGGCAGCCAACAAGGGTTCCTTCTCGGCATCCCCTGCCCACTGCCACCCCAACACTCCTGGGTTTCTCCAATGCCCTGGGGAGCCAACTCAGTGCTTTCCAACCCCTACTGGGTACCTTTCACATCTTTAAAGCATAAGGCTTGGCAAAAGAAAATTTAAAGATAGACAACTCTATATTTGATGCTTAATGCGTGTATCCCTTAGGAAAATCTATGAAACTTTTCGCCCCTCTCAGAAAAACCAGTTTAGCTGCTAACCAATGCTATTGAATTGACTGAGACTGCAAGCTAGAAGTAGTTCGTGCACACAGCCCAAGCTGGTCCAGCATTGCCTGCTGAGACCCAGAGGGCAGAGAGCATGTGGGAAACTCTGCCGTTTCCTATGAACATGAGAAATTTGCTTTATTTGTACTACAAGGGGTCCCCCACTCTCACCACACACACACGCACACACACACATGTGACAGCTAGGTCTGGTGGGTTGATGCTGTTTAATAGACAGGGGTAAGCTCTGTGCAGCCTGAGGAAGGTTAAAAAAAAAAGGATAATTCGTGTTTCTGCATTTATGTTTTGTTGTCCACTGATTTTGCTTCCAGGGAAGTCCACCACCCTGGGCCTAGTGCCTCACAAATGAGACCTTTCCTTCCGGCGAACACAATGGTGGCTAATGTATCCAACTCACCAAAGTCAGAGTTTCACAATAGCACTATTTTCAAGATGCTTTTATATTTATTAGAAAGGGTATTTATTTTTTAATCGCGTCAAAACTCTTTGGATGTCTTGGGTTTTTTTTTTTTTTCCTTTTGCTTTCTTTAAGGACCCCGCATTTTGGGTTAAGGGCAGTAAATAGTAGCCAGTCCTGATTGGCCAACAGCTGTTTCTTTATGGGAACCTCACTTGCCAAGGAACTGGACAGCGATACTCGCTTGGTATTCATGGGAAGTACTTGCCGAACAATAATGACAATAATTGCCTCTGATTCTTGTGTTTACAACACTGCCAAAGTATCATTAGGGCCTTATTTATAGATAATAATGCTTATTAATCACAAGTATTTGAATTTTGGAATGTATTAGATTAATATTCTTTTGTACCTCAGTTCTGTACTAATGCTGTGAAAGACATTTACTGAATGCAGCTCGTTGGGAATGCTTATTTTGAGCTGCAAAATAATGTGTGTAATTTGCAGGTGAAAGATAAAGAAATTACATGGCTACCTCTCAGCAGCCTGCACCGTGATCAATGGCCAACGTGGAGAATTAGGCCCTGGCTCTAAAACGAGAAAAGAAAGAAGCAAAAGAGCCATCCCTAGAGGTATTATTTCCCAAAAAAATCTTGTAAATTCTTATGACGGGAGAACTTCCTAATAATAAGTCTATTATCTTGTTTTGCCATAAATCTTTGGTGGATGGCATCATTTTATTGAAAGGGGTCTGTGGTAAAGACTAATTAGTGATTCTGCAACAATTCCACGCTGTGTAAGTTTTGGGAGGCTCAAGGCGGAAAAAAAGGGTAGGATGACTAGTAACTGGAAATAGCACAAGTATGCCTTGGGTTTAACTGTCCAGTTGCTACATCTCCTTCATTAATTCATTAAATTTTTCTAGAAGCTTAATTTTTGTGCAAGCAAACACTAACACTCTAAGTATTTCCTTATTTTTATGTGCATCTAGAAATAGGAATCATGAAAAATTTCGAAAGATGATCACACTTTTTCTAGGATTAATAAACAATTTCTATTTGTGTAATAAAACAACTTTATAAATGAATATGAAGTATTACTTGCCCATAGTTTTCACCTAGCCACTCCATCCTGACATTATAGCAAATATGAAATCAGCAATATATTTTTTCCACCTCGCACACATTATTTGTTCTTGGAGTAGCTTTATGTGTTAGAATAATAATACTTCAGTAGTTTAATTAGATGAATGCAAAAAAAAGTAGTTCCATAATTTTCCAGAAATTTTTGAGAAAGAAAGCAAAGTTTATGAATACAAATTCTAGGTGTTGTTTTTAAAATAATACTTGCCACTAGAAATCTTCTTAAACATTGCCTATCATTAAGATTTACTAAAGTTCTTTAAGCTGAACCCAAATCATGCTCAACCTTATCCTACTTTACCAAAGACTACTTTAAAATAGTCTATGGGCCTAATTACCACCTACAATGTACAATATTGTCCTGCCATATTTTTGTCCCTCACATAAGGGTAAAGAAACTGCACCTTTGAATTAATATTACACTGAGAAAATTGTCCTCCCTACAAGACCCTTGAAAATGTGTTCAGCACATGTTTCCAAGTCCAAGCATACAGGATTCTAATTCATTAAATGTATAATGCTAACATTTTAATCCACTGCTAAATGTAAATAACTTCAGCAATCCCAGTTGGGCTATTTAACATTAATTTAATGTATTTTATAATACATGTGTGTGTCTCCTCTCACGGGGCTAAGTAGAAAGGTGAACAATTATCTAATAACTTCCATCAATGCACTCCACCAAACCTGGTAAGTCAGGCCCTCCTCTCTTTTTATTTATTTATCTAGTAACTATCTCACCTTGAGGTCCATTCAGGTGTGTTCTATCACTCCTAATCAGTGCAATGAAGAACCAGGCAAGATCTTCTAGAATCTGTTGCTAGCTTACAAATTTAGTCACTATAGATAGCCAGTCTAGACTGTTCAAATTTCACTCTCTCTTCTTTCTTTTTTTTTTTTTTAATAGCTAGGCAGAAGGGTGTGCAGCAATGCCTGAATTCTTCAAATAATTAGTTAAATTCTCTCACTTATTTTGCCTTTGGTAGACATTGCCTAGTTCTCTCTTTAAAAGATGAAAGCAGTTGGATGAGGAAAGAGAATAAGGTTTTGAGAAAGCATAGATGCACCTCACCTCAACATGTGTCACTGATGGTGTCTAAACAGTGAGGCTGAGTACCTGAACCCCCCCTCCCCGCAGAAGCCTCTCAGAACCTCACTAAAGCAGACTCACCCAACTGCTCACAGACTTAAAAAAAAGCAAAGTGGGGGAGAGGGAAAAGAAAGGCAGAGAGGGAGGGAGAAGATGGCTAGTCCATGAAGCTGGAGTTTCAGTATGAGACTATTTAGAAAATAATTCACTTCGAAAACTGCTTTCACAGAATAAGTTGGTCTCCATCAATATCCAAGCAGTTTTCTAAGAGCCTGGTTGGCTATGAAACTTGATATCTGTCAACATTTTATAGTTGCCCTGAGTTAATAAGCTATTTTCCTTCTTTGCTGTAACTGACAAATTTTTTAAAAATTGCATCTTGGATGCCTACCTTCTGGGGAGTTGTATTTGCTATGTTATAGTTCTGTCTGCTTTCCGGCCACAGAACACCAAAGTATTTATTCTTACAAATCTTTCTATATGTGTAACTTGAGCTTACTAAAACAGTGCTTTACTCACTTCATTAATTAACTCGACAGAAAAGATGCTTTTACACTTTTGGAGTGAATGACTCTTTATCCAAATTTTTGAATACACATTGTTCAATTTTAGAAATTTTTGAATACACATTGTTCAATTTTAGATCATTATATAGCATGTGTCTTTTCCTACCAAACCACACTATCATGTAGAAATCTTTCTAAAATAAAAACCTAACTTACAGTTAATTTAAAACTCCATCTAGAGTAAAATTCTTTTACTTTTTTCAAGAATATTCTTAAAAAGAATTTTTTTTCATTTATGGTATTTCCATTATTTTAACTTCAAATTTTAACAGATTAAAAAACAAACCTCAAAATAGCACTTGGGCTAAACTGATTTTTTTATTTTCACAAGCTCATCACTAATATTTAGATGCCACGGATGAGGCATCAATCTTTGAAATACTCTGAAATAAACAAGCAATAAATTACATGTGGGAATAAATGCCATCATAAACACCGTATATATATTTTCAGTAAAGAAATACACATTTACATAAACATAGAAAAGCTGATAAAATAATTTGTAATGTCAGTAAAAATAACTCACATGAAAGAGCTCCTTCTATCATGGTCTTCAAGAAAATTTCAAAACTTTATCATTCTGATTCTTTTTATCAATGAGAACAAATAACTCTTCAACCATAACATTAATGTATAATGTTTCTTTACATTTGCTCAGTGTGAAGGAGCACTTGGAGTCTTGCCAATGTATTCATTTTAATAAAAAAAAGTCTTTGAAAATACAAAAATTCAAAACAATATCTAAAAAGAAGCAAATAAGCAACATGCCATCCCATATTACACAAATCATCTCAAGGATAAATATGTGCTTCCAACTTGCTTTCCCATTTCGAATTATCACTAGACTAGTGAAAGTCTTTTAATGATAGAAAGGGCTACAGAATTAAACTACTTTAAAAATGTTTTCTTTACAGCAGAATGAAAAATAAAACTAATGTTCTTTTTCACTGCATGCCGAATTTAATTTTTGTCATAAGACAATAGCATTTCATTTGCAGGGGAAAAAAGATGAAAAGTACCTGAATTTAGATAGAATGTTTATATTTTAAATTCTTATGTATGATGCCTTTTTTATTTATGTAAAATGAGTTGTTTGTAGTATTTTAAAAGGGAACATGCTGAAAATATTAATATAGTGCATGGATTTTTTTCTACTGACTCTTATGGTGTCATCTAGGGCTGGCACAACTCAGATTTCAAAAGAAATTTTAAACTTGTTTTCAATAGGGATAAGATTTGCTCTTTCTTTTATTTTAGGACTATCTGTGATAGAATGTATTGTTAATCATGGAAGTTTGGTATATTACACATGGGCATGTTATATGCAAATGTATTCAGTTGGGGTATGTATATATTTTGTTATGTTATGTACATAAACATCTACCCTTGTGCATATGTATATTTACATCATGTATAAATATGTGTATATTACCAAAGGGTCTTATACTGAAGGGGAGGAGGAGCTTTCGGGGGACTGCCATACAATATTTTAGTTAACTGTTCACTGAGGCTGTTTTCTATGAGAGTAATTAGGTTTCCTTTTTTCACAGTCCCCAAGGTGGGTGTTTATAGACATGGTTTAGTTATTACTGTTTTCCAAAAGGCTAGTTTTTTAATCTTACGTCTACATATGCTTTAAATAAATTAGTGGTTGCCCACCCCCTACCTTGTCCTTCTCTTAGGAAGGCCTATGGGCAAACATCTTGATAAATAATTCAAAGAAAAGCTAAACTTTGATTCCAAAAAACAAAGTTCATCTAGTTAAACACTGACATCTTACTATTAACATTCTTTACTAAAACTTAGCTGTCTATACAATATCTTATAAAAAGGAGTGACAAATAGTATGACGATGCTGGTAGGTGAGGGTCTTTGGAGGTAAGTGTGCAAATTTTACTTAGGGACTTTCTCCAGAACAGGTCTTAAAATGAAATGCCGCTGAGCATTAAACCACCTAATGCCCACCTAAATCCAAGAAACAAAAAATATATACCACCAGTATTCCCAAATTATTGAAAATCCTTAGATGCAAACACTAGGACAAAAAGAGGACACTAAAAGTATTTATAAAGTTTATTTTTAGGATCCTCTGAAAGTCATGTTATCAAAAACACAGTCGGGCAATTGGGTTCATATTCTCAATGATGGAGAGAAATATTTAGCCTTTTTCTGAATTCTTCCTGCCTTGTGTTCTCCCTTGAGAGTTGAACAATCTGTATGGGGCTGGTTAACGTCGTAAGTAGGAGGAATTTCATTTGGCCCAAGTTTTCTTCTATTAGTCTGCTTTTCTCTTTTCTAATAGGAGATAACTGACAGTCCTGTTTTGTATGAAATTATGGAAATCAGAGACTGGAGGAAGGGGAAGTCATTATTTCAGAATTGAAAAGGTGTGGGTGTTTTCACCCCCCCCCCCAAAAAAATTTCCCATCACTAGAAAGGAGCCAGGAAACTGGCCGGCTTAAAAAGTGATTTTTCAACTGGTTCCTACTTCTACTCTATGCTTCCAAACATAAAAACAACCTTCACGCAAGCCCTCTTCAAGGCCAAGACCCGAGAGGAAGCAAATACCCAAGCCCCTGAAATCCAGTCTCAAGGGCAAGCGGGAGCCTGGGAAGGATCTCGGCCGCATTTCTCAGCGAACACTGTCCCTTTTGGGCTCCCCCGGCTCATGTGAGTCCGGGGATCCGTGAACATCCCGGGGCCCCAAGAGGGATCTCTCGGGCCTCAGAAGGGATGAAGGCGAAGGTGGAGACACCTGCGTGGGGGCGGGGGAGCTCTAGGTGGCAGATATACATCTCCAGGCTGCAGCGGCGCATTCTTCACCACCTCCTGCCCTGCCCTGCCCTGCGCGCGCACCGCACGCCCACGCACGCCGCCCGCGCACACCCCGCAAGCGCGCACACGCGCGCACACACCCCCAACGCACACGTCGCGCGCGCGCACACACACACACACACACATACACACACACCGATCACGCATGCGGCGCGCACACCTACTGACCCGGACACACACTTCGCACGAGCGCACACACCCCCAACGCGCACACACACGCTGCACACACCGCCGACACACACACCGATCACGCACCCACACATACAGACCCTGACACACATACCCGGACACACACCCCGCACACGCACACACGGGCGCACACACATACCGATCACGCACACCGCACTCACACACACACACACACACCCAGACACACATACCGATCCCTCGCACGCACGCACACCCGCCCGCACGCCGCTCCGAGCCGCTCTCCTCCGCAGGGAGACCCCCCGGTGCCGGGCGCTACCGCGCGAGGGGACAGCGATGCTCTCTGGACTCCGGACCCAGCGGGCCGGGAACAAGGCGCTGGGGCCGCGGGTTCCAGTGGGGGTTGCCAGGCGCCGACCGTAGAGGGGCCGGGAGCCGGGAGGAAGGGCCGAGGCAGAGCGGCCGGGCGCGCCCCCCGCCGTCCTCCTGCCCTCTCCCCTTCCGCGGCCGCCGGGCCCGGCGCGGCCGTGGGCAGCGCGTGAACCCCACGCGGCCGGGCCTACCAGGCTCGTCCGGCGCCGGCCTGCAGGGGGCGCCGCTCGCGGGGCCTTGGCCTCGGGCGCGGAGGAGGGGCCGGGTGGCAGGCGCCGAAGCAGGCTCGGCCCCGCGTCCCCGGAAGGTGCGCGGAGCCGGGAGGCTGGTGCTCGCCCAAGGGCTGGTGACGGCGCTCTCATACTTGTCACCGCCTAGCCCGCTCTCGGTCGGGTCCAGCGGCAGGAGGGGGCATGGGCGCTGCCGGGGAGCCCCCCTCCTAGCCGGTGGGCTCCACCTGCCTGCTCGGAGCTCGGGGTGGGAAGGGAGCTCGTCTCTCCGGCTTGGCCGCGCGGGGGCTTCGGAAAGTTTTCTACCACGCGGAGTACGGAGGCGGAAGAAGCGCGAGCCTGCTGCCAGTCTGGGACAACCCGAAAGCACCAGAAGCGTCGCCAACCAGCAGCACCCCCGGCGTCCCCGGCAGTCACCCCCTTCCTTGACCCGGCGGGCCCTGTACCGGGAGCCGGAGAAAACTGGGAGTCCCGCCGACCGCCTGGTGGGCTCCGCGCCGCGACCCGCGGGAAACGCGCACCCTGCGGCGTCGTTGGAAACCGACGGCGGGGTCACGATCCCAGAGGAACGGAGCCGCGTCCTCGCAGGGCACGGGGGTGGGGGGAGGTCCAGGGCCCCTGCAGATGCTCCAGGGGGGCACTCAGGCCGAGAGTGCCTTAGGAGCGGAACCTCGAACTCCAGGGCTGCCCACGTCCCTTTCTCACTCCAGATGTTCAGCTGAGCTCGGGGTGAGGACTGTCCCCCGTCCCGATCTGGACCCAGCAGCCAAGGCCAAAGGTGTGCAGATTTTTTTTTTTAAAGACCCACCCACATCTTATAAATGTGAGATTGTTATCAGACGGCCCAGATTACTTAAAGCGTACCATTTCTCCGCGATCCAATTTTATTAGGATTTACTCTCATTTGTGCTGGGCTTCTCTGGGGAAATAATGCTTTGATTAATGTAATCCTGGCCCAGGATCCGCCACATGCCCCTCGCCCCTCTCCCAGGAGAAAGGGCCTGTTTGACAAACAATAACAGAGCAGCAACTCTTGCAATCTGGCCCACACCTTTGGGGGCGGCTAGGAAGAAGGTAACAGGCGATCCCACGCCGTTTGCTAAATGCAAGGGTGAGAGGAGGGAGCGGGCTCTGCGAGGGGCGAACTTTCCAGACGCAAAGCCCCGGGCTCCGAGGCGCGGGGGCTCCTGGAGAGGTACCCTCGATGGGTGCGCGCCTGGATCCTGTGCGCGCCCGCCCTCCGCTATCTCCGACCGTCTGCCTCTTTGTCCCCAGCCACAGGCCTCGGCGACCGGGGAATCTGCGCGCTCCGCGTGGGCAGCCCCTGGACCCAGGGTGCGTCCACAGCGCCCACGCGCGGCCCCCAAGCACTTCGAGAGCAGATCTTAGGGGAGAACCAGGCGCCGACCCGAGGCGCCCCTCCGCTGCCAGAAACCTGGAACCCGGGGCCGAGCCTCAGCGGTTCCCCTCCTCATAGACGCCCGCACCTCTCCGGCCGTGCACACACGCACACAATGCAGATGCGCGGGGACCTGCGCTCGCCG